AAATTTCAGTCACCTCACAACTTTGTCTAGCCCCTTTTTTCCTAGCCTACCCGCCCTCTTCCCACACCCCTATCCTCCCTCCAATGGATTGATCCCCATTTGCAATTTGCTAAATGATGTCTGCTTTATCTTAACACCCTGCCAGTGCATGATACAGTGATCAACCCATAAAGGTCAGAATGAATGGTGGCAAGACCCAGACCCTGGACATGAGTGAGTCAATCAATTCACTTTTCCCCTGAAGTTTTCCCTAAGTCTGAGTGATCAGGTAATGCAGATCGATATCATTTCCAACTTCATCAATTCTTCTATAATTAACTTCTGATAAAGTGGTGCTCAACAAAGTGTTGTTCGCCAGGATGGATCAGTAAACTCACACAACAGCCAACTTGGAACTTTTATCCACACAATGTCTCTAAAAAGATTTGGCCTTATGACCTTGGGTTGTTTTAGTTTTTTTAACCATGACTACGCTAGGTAATGCTTTAAAATACAAACTTCTTCAGAACAATTTTTTGCCTAACCCTTTGACCACTCAGCGAGTCCTCTTCAAAATGTGATCCTCACTTTCAGATTTGTGTCAGCCACAACATCAACATTTTTATTCTGTGATACAATCATAGGATTGCGTAGCTGACAGACATCTGTAGCTTGCGGTGGTTTAGAAATGCAAATCTGTAGGATCAAAATTTTAAAGAATAAAACCTGTAGCCATTATTTTCTCTCTCTGCCTATGCAATCCAACATTATAAAAATCTCGTTACACAACAAACTGTGGCATCAAAAGATAACTTCAATAAATGAAATATGGTTCTGTACTTTATGTTTAATTACATCATCCCAAATCCGATTCTGGATTGAAAACCACTTGACTGATTCTGAAATTGACTATGTCAGGAATATCAAAATTATATCTAAGCAAAGCATTTAAGAAAACTGACTTTTTTAAAAAAAAGCAAAACCTGCCCTTATCTGGTATCTTCCTTCTCTAGAATCTGGCATTTAATAGCATATTTTATTATTTTATTTCAATTCCATATTCAAGGAAAGCTTTTGAAGCCATTTTGATTACCCTAACAGCAGAGATATATATATATATATATTTTTTTTTTTTACAAGAACAGTGTATTTGGAGCCAAAGATCTGGTTGAAACAACGAATGCAATGATGAAAATCTTTTTACAGTAGCACAGCCAAGTATATTGGCTTCATTTAACATTTGTATCACACAGGTTTTTTTTTTTTTTTTAACACTTTTCCTCTAAAAGAAAACAGTAGCTTTCCATTCTTTGTATCGGCCAAGGAAAGTCTTAAAGCTTTGGAGATTTGAATAGTTACCAGAGTCCCAGAAACCCACTGCCCAGCATCCTGTCTTAGAATTATTTTCAAAAGTTTTGGAAAGGAAAGATATCCTGGGAGCTACACAATTAAGATATTAGTCAATTTTCAGAGTAACAGTAGACTCCCATAGAGACAATAATAAATTGTGCTTGAACATGTGAAAATGCTCCCAGTAAAAAATCCACCCGTTCAGAGTTGTGTTCTAGTGCACACTGACACAGTAGTGGTTGCAGATTCTAACTGGCAATCCGATTCAAGACACGTCGCAGGTTTTTGTCTCCATTTACATTGCTTTGTAGAAGACTAGAGGACAGAAAACAGTATCTATAGTTATCAGGAACCTGTGGTAAGCAGAACTGTGGTCCCCCAAAGATGTCCACATCCTAATCCCCAGAACCTGTGACTATGTTAATGTTAAATGGGAAAAGAGAATTAAATTGTAGATGGAATTAAGTTTGATAATCGGCTGACATTAAAATTGAAGATTATTCTGGATTGTCTGGATCGGCCAAAAGAAATCACCAGAGTCCTTAAAAGTGCAAGAGGGATGCAGAAGAGATTAGAGTTATGCAATGTGAGAAGGACTTAATGCACGGTTGTGGATTTTAAAGATGGAGGGAGGGACCACAAGCCAAGGGATGCAGGCAGCCTCCAGAATCTGGAAAAGGGCCAGGAAATGGATTCTCCCCTAGAACCTCCAGAAAGGAACACAGACTTGCCACCATCTTGGTTCTAGCTCCATGAGATCTGTGTCAGACTTTTATCCTACGAAACTGTGAAGTAATACGTTTATGTTGTTTGAAGTCACTATGTTTGTGGTCATTTGTTACAGCAGTGATAGGAAACTCATACCACACTCAACAGATACCCAAGTACACAGCTCCTTTGGCCACCACACCCACACAGGAAGTGAAAGACTGCCAAAGAATGACATTCAAGGTGTGAACAGGTCACATTGACACAGAGAAGCCGGGCCATCAGCTTCCCAACAATCTTTCATGTGGTTCCAGTGACACAGGCCCTAAACCGGCCAGCCCCCAGCAGCCCCACTCCAGGAGTGATCCCACAGACCAAGGCTTCAGAACAAAAGGGACAATGAATGACTGAAAAATTGTGCTGAACACTGGAATTTGACACAACACTGTAAAATGATTGTGAATCAATAAAAAATGTAAAAAAAAAGAACAAAAGGGACAGACAGAACATTCCACATTCACTGATCACTGCATTCTGCAGAGAAACAGGACGCTGAAGTCATTCTCATAGGCAGGCCTGGATCAGCCCAGTGCTGAAATAAACCCTTTCCTCAGAGTTGCGATCCCAGTGTCATTATATCTATCGCCATTCTAAATCTGAGGAATCTGTCATCGTTTGAATCTTGGGCACAAGCAGGGCTCCCTCCCCACAGACATCAAAAGCCAACTACTTGCTTTCCCTGGGCCCAGGCAGATAGGAAGGACACAGCAATGTTTCAGTGTTCACTAATTCAGCGTACATGGTTACTTTAGAGAACATCACTACCACAAATAATGAGAATCAACTGTACTTAAATCACCAAGGGTTATGCAGGAATAGTGCTGCAAAGAGTGACAGAAAGCCTGAAGGTATGTTTTGTCAGGTACTATATGATGTCATTTATACATGGAAGCTGAACTTATTTACAAAACAGAAACAGACTCACAGACATAGAAAACAAATTTATGGCTACCAGGGGGAAAGCAGGGAAGGGAGCAATAAATTAGAAGTTTGGGATTTGCAGATACTAGCTACTATATATATAAAATAGATCAACAACAAGGTCCTACTGTACAGCACAGGGAACTATATTCAGTACCTTGTAATAACCTGTAATGGAAAAAATTCTGAAAAAGAATATATCTGTAACTGCATCACTTTGCTGTACATCAGAAACACAACATTGTAAACCAACTACACTTCAACAAAAAAAAATTTAATTTAAAATCAATTGACGATAGAAAAAAAGATACATTTTGTCAAGGAAGAAGAGTGACTCACAGATCTGGAGAAGATCACGCCAACACAGAGTAGAAGGTGGTAAAGTCTGATGCCATGAGATGCAAAGCTGGAGGAATGGAGAAGGGAGGAAGAAAACTCTGGAAGAATCAGTCAAGAGCAATTAAACATAAGTAATGGATTAATATCAGAAACTTGAGACATCAGGGGCAGGTTTGTGACAAATTTTTTTTTGGTTGTTGACTAGCTCTGAACCTCACGGAGCCTGTGGTCACCTCTTTGTCTATTCCGTCTGGGAGCCCGGCTTCTCTCCCTCCCACATAATGACAAGAGCAGGTCAACCTCTTCTTAACCTCCACGCTGAGAAAAAGAAAAGGTCAGCTGCTGAGTACGGAAGCGTAGTTCTATTCTACAACTCAGTATGTCACAAAATAGAATCCACTTTCCTTTGCTATTTCTATATAAACACCTCTATTACGTCCATAGACGAGAAAGGTTACATTTTGAAAGAAATTATTCATGAGGGAAAAAATTAGAATTTTGAACGAGCCTTTTAGGTGACCTATACAGACGTATGAAAATAGGACTTCAATCTATATTAGATGACTAATCCAAAAAGATGAAAACATAATCAAATTGCAGTAGTACTTCTCAATTTAACTTAACCTTTGAGGGGCCTCGCCACTGTACTTTAAAATTAATTTCACCCAGTGGTTCTCCAGGGAACAATGAGAAATGGAACTTCTACTTAAAAATATGCATGCACATTTATAAACATATTGTAGTCAATTTGTCTCCATGTTTTTTCTCCCAACAAAGAATTCTAGATTGCTTATTAAGGCTTCTCAGCTTAAAAAAAAAACTTTGGAAAAGAGGCCTCATTCTGAAAAACTCCAGGATTAGTGTCCAATCTTGAAGTGCTTCTGAAAAAACCTTCAGCAAAAAATGTAAAATTTACTTTGCCCTCATTATTAAGCTAACTTGTAATGGGTTTTCTTTAGGATTTTAGCAATTATGAGATTCTTGATTAAAATTGTCAAAAGATTAATATCCAACAATAAGTCCCCCCAAAATACTCAGGCGTCCTTTTCTAAACTTGACTTTGGGTTTGTCATTTAATTTCCTTAAAAAAATATTAAAGTAGAAATCAAACAATGTACCAGTTTGACAAGGTTTTTCCACCTTTAGGAACAACAAAAACTTAATAAATTGTCGGTACTAACCAAAAAAGATTAATTATGAAACTTATCCAAAGCTTAATGGAGTAGCTGAACTAGGGGACGTTAGGGAGAAGTGTTTAGTGGGGAAAAAAAAATGGACTAATTTATATGAGAATTATTGAAGGCATACTTGGAGCTCTTGCTTTGACTAAGTTTAAGAAAGAGTAATACTGCCAAGGGCTGGCACAAGCGGTGGGAGGCACACGCTCTAATACACAGCTGGCAACATTATAAATTGGGTCCAACTTTCTGGACGGCAATATGGAGATACACATCAAAAGTTGTAACATATGTCCTCATTGACCAAGACTTGTACTTCTTGGAATTTATCTTAAGAAAATAAAGGCTGTAGTAAAATTACACTATCCTTTTTAATTCTTTACTTTAAATAATTTTATTATTGCACAACATCAATTACTCTGTTGTTGAAAATTAGAAGAAGTTAGAAACGATGAAAATTCTTACCAATAAGAATCTTTTAAATAAATGGTCTTTCTTCTCCCATCCTCGTCCCCTTTAATTAATTCTAATTAAAATGCAATGACTTGAATGTTAACTCGACTTACTGTGGCAATCATTCCACAATATATACAAATACCAAATCATTATGATTTCACCTGAAACTAATATGTTATATGTCAATTATACCTCAGCAACAACATTTTTAATGCAAAAACTACACATATTTGAGATGAACAATTTGATGAGTTTTGATAGATGTCAATACCAATGAAACCACCACCACAATTCAGTTTTTCATACTAAGTTTTTGAAGTCTGGTGTGCATTTCACCCTTACAGTGCAACTCAAGTTGGGCGAGCCACATTTCACATGCTCCACAGCTCCATGTGGCTAGGAGACACCATAATGGACAGTGCAATTCTGCAAGGTCAGGACTATGCCCACCTCTTCAGCCTTCTTAGGCAATAGACATATTTAACCTTCAGGTACTCAAAATCCAATTCTCTGAACTTTCCTGGTCCTTTTTACATATTGCGTTTTCATACAACAAATAATTTGAAAGAAGACAAATAACCAAATTTTTTAATAGGCAAAAGATTTGAATGACTTTTCACCAAAGGAGATAGACAAATGGCCAACAATTACATGAAAGATACTCAACAGTCATTAGGAAAATGCAAATCAAAACCAAAATGAGACACTACTTCACACCCACTAGAATGACTATCATTAAAAAACAGACAATAACAAGTGAAGATGACAAAGGGAAGAAACCAGGACTCTCATGTATAGTTGGTACAATTGTCTAAATGGTGCACCTGCTTTGGAAAATAGTCTGACAGTGTCTTAAAATGTTGAACATAGAGTCACCATAAAACCCAGCGATTCCACTTCTAGGTATCTACCCAAGAGAAATGAATGAAGACATACGTCTACCCAAGACACGTGTCCATACAAGACTCGTAGAAGCAACCCGAATGTCCACCAACTGGTAAAAGGATAAACAAAATGTGGTCTATCCATACAATGCAATACCATTCAGCAATAAAAAGAGCTAAGTATTGAGATATGCTACAACATGGATGAACCTCAAAATCATCCTCTTAAGGGAACAAAGCCAGACATATATTGTATAATTCCCTTTTTCTGAAATGTCTCAAAAAGAAAAATCTATAGGGACAAAGTAAATAAGTGGTTGCTTAAGGTGGGGCGTGGAGATTAAGACTGCAGGTGGGCACAGGGTCCTTTTAGGAGGAATGGAAATATTCTAAAACTGGCTCTTGGTGATGGTGGCACAACTGTGTAAAGTTACTAAAAATTATTGAATTGTCCACATAAAATGAGTGGATTTTATGGCATTAAAATACCTACCTCAATAAAGTTAACTTGAAGAAAAATAAAATATTCACAAGAATTAAAAAATGTGTGCTGGGAGGTCCTAGGGATCTGTCTCTTGCTTCCACAGTGTTTGGACAGAACAGACCCAGGGACACCCCTTCCTCCAGCATCCCATCACCCTCCAACCTTTTTTCCCCTGGTCACAACCTTTAGGACCAACCACTGAACTATCCTCCACCTCCAGGACCAGCCAGCACTATTTTTTGAGCTTAGCTCCTTATTGCCAATCAACCCTGAGCTCCCAGATTCGTCAGAATTATTCCACCGATGTGGAGGTCACTGTCAACTGCCTGGTCAACATGTATCTGCAGGCCTCCTACACCTACCTCTCTCCAGGCTTCTATTGCTACCGAAGGCAGGTTCATGTGCCCGCCGCCCCATGAAGCCAAACTGAAACATGAGTTTGGAGCAAAGAAAGGTTTATCACAGGGCCAAGCAAGGAGGACGGGATGGTTCGTGCCCAGGAAAGCCCAGAACTCCCTGAAGGTTTCAGCAAAACGTATTTAAAGTCCAGGTAAGGGCGGGGGGGGGGGGGTCTCAGGGTACATGATCAGCTCATGCACAATTCTGATTGGCTGATGTTGAGGGAACAAGGTGGTCAACACTATCAATTCCTAAGCTCCAAAAGGTCTGGGGCTACATGCTCTCCATCATCAAGTAGTTCATTTCTTCCCTTTAGTAGTGGTTTTAAGCATCTGAAAAACTCAGGGAATATACACGAGATACTACTATCCAGGTACTTCAGAAAGGGGCTGAAGCAGAAGATATGGGGGAGAGGTCTGACCCCAGAAGGCCCCACAGGGTCCTGCTCAGTTACACTATTTCTACTGTGATGATGTGGCCCCTGAGGGCCTGGGCCACTTTTTCCAGAGTGCGGCTGAGCATCTCTTGAAAATGCAAAACTAGTGCTGCTGTGGCACCCTCTTCCAGAACGTGCAGAAGCCATCCCAAGATGAGTGGGGTAAAACCCAGGATGCTATAGAAGCCGCTGTGTTCATGGAGAAGAACCTAAACCAGGCCCTTTTGGATCTGCCTGCCCTGGGTCCTGCCCGCATAGACCCGTAGCTCTGTGACTTTCTGGAGAGCGGCTTCCTGGATGAGGAGATGAAACTCATCAAGAAGATGGGCAACCACCTGACTCACCTCCGCGGGCTGGCTGGTCCCCAGACAGGGCTGGGCAAGTATCTCTCTGAAAGGCTCACCCTCAAGCACAACTAGGAGCCTCTGGAACCCAGCAGACTTTGAGGAGCCCCTCTGGAGTCAGGGCTTCTACCTGAAGCCTCTCTCTGCAGCCACCATGTAGCTTTTTAACCACCCTGGAGCCTTCTCCCAAACCTTGGACCAAACAGAAACAATAAAGCTTTTTGTAAACAAAACAAAACCTTCAATGTTTACATCCTGCTATAAAATGTTTCCTACCTTTTACATTCCCAGCTGCCTCTCACCAGATCATACTTTCCATACAGGGAGGAACCATTAACCCCTCGCTCCCTGTTGTAGCCCCAGCATCCTTGTTACGCCTTTCACATAGCAGGGGCTCCAACAGCTGTTGAATGAATTGTGCATGAATTGCTTGGGCAATTTCAAAAAAATAAATCATAGACAAGAGTTTTTAAAAATCCTATTCAGCAATAAAACACACTCAACAACATGGATGAACATTACAAAAGAAGCCAGGAACCACTGAGTACATACTATATGGTTCTATTTATGAAGCTGCAGAACAGCTAGAACTAGAAATTGGAACAGTGTTTTCCTGGGGAAGCAGGGGGGCAGTAATTGACTGGGAAGGGGTGTCAGGGAACTCTCAACATTCTGTTGAGATGGAGACGTTCTGTATGCTAAGCCGCACAGCAGTTACAAAGGTGTACATGTGTCAAAATTCATCAAACTGCACACTTAAAATCAGTGTATGTTATATATAAATTATATCTCAGTTTAAAAAAGTGAAGACCTCCAGTGAAAATAAAATTTAAAAATGATTCAATAAAGCAAGCCTCCTAGTTCTTGAGTAGGAAACATGAGGCCTTCCATGGTCAGGGCCCTGCAGGCTGCTCCAAACTTACTTTTCAGAAAGTTGCCCACTGCCCTCCCCGCCGCCCAAGCTCCACCCGCCACAAACCCTGCCCCAGCCTGATGAAACTGCTGGCATTTCCCCAAACACACCGTATCCATCCATGCCTCTCTGCCCTCCCTTCCTAAACCTTCTTCATCCATAACAGCTGGGCACCTACTGATTTTGTAAAACTTCAGAAAGTCAAGTCACGATCACCTAGAGTGATGGATTCTGGTGATAACTGTATGATTCTGTAAACTGACTAAAATTCATCGAACTGTACACTTAAAACAAGTGGATTTTATAGTATGGTATGTAAATTAAACCCCAAAAAAGTTGTTTTTAAAAAAAACAATTTCACAATATAGGTGAATCAAACCATCACGCTGTATGTCTTAAACTTAGAGAGTGATGTATGTATGTCAATTTCTCAATAAAACTGGGGGAAAAAACTTAGCTCGAAGGTAATCCCTCTATGAAGGTCTTCCTAACCCCTTCCAAACCTTCAAACCAAACACATATTTTCTCTGTCACACCCCATTGTTCTCTGTACCTCCTCCTGTTAAAGGCCTACGTGCTTCAGTGCACTTTTCTCTCTAAATGTCTTGTTCTCCTCAGACTCGGAAGTCCCTGAGGGTGCAGCCTTACCCAAGCTTTTATCACCCATACGCAACACTACACCTGGCACATAAAGCCACTTAATTGCTGCTTATGGGATAAACACGTTGCATTTTAACTTCATAATTCCCTGTACTACTGCAAAATTAAGCCTAAGATTTGGGTCCCAGTTAAAGTTTCCTTATTCTGACAGGTGTGGCTTTGGGTCTTTTGAACACATGAGTGTTGATGATAGAAACACAACAAATAACCACAGTGTTCTCAGTTGTGATTCCTGCCCTTGGATTCGCACTTCACCCAACCTGGACTCCCCTACTCGTACCTGCACTTAAAATACCCAGTTCATTTACATGGACTTCAAAGCCTGCCAAGAACAGAATTTGGAGAAGGCTTTCCAGTCTCACCAACTCTTATTTGTTGGCCCACAGTTTGGTCAGCAGTAACCCTGCAGGCTTCAGAATGTCTTAGAAACCATACTGTGTTCTGATTCTTAGCTTTCTGGTCCTAATGACATCATACTAACTTCTTTGGAAACCCCTGAAAAGAGTGTTGGCCCCAAGTCTTCCCCATTCAGCACGCACTGCTTCTGAATTGTGTGAGATATTATAGGGAGGCGAGGAAAGCACTGGATTTTAGGTCAGAGTCCCTGAGCATGAGCCCAGTTCCACCCATCACTACCCGTGTGACCCCAGGGAACTACTGTAGCATTCTAATGTGCGGCTCCTGCTTCTGCAAAAGCAGGTTTAATAACAACTGCCCGTTCGAATATACTGAGCAGCCCTACACATCAAAAGAGGCAGCATATGAGAAGGTGCTCTTTAGTTAAAAACTGCTCCACGAGTCCAGAGTTACTAACCAGTGCCTTCCTTGCTGGTTTTCCTTTGCACTTCGCCCTAATGTTTCAGTTAGTCCCTTGGGATCTGCAAATTATCCCCCAGTTGCTGTAGAACAAAGAACTCCTTGATCCCCTTCAATCCAACTGGAGAAATGTACACAGAATAAAGTCTATATAAAGGGCACCACCTGGCTCAGTGCTCCATACATTTATTCCCTGGGTGTCTTGAATGATCCTTCTCCAACA